TACTTTGAAAATCAACCCACACATCCCTCCCTCCTCTCCCCAAAAAATATTTCTTTGGGGGGCTGAAAATGCACCAGTGGCATCTCTTAACAAGACGGGGTGCATTGGCCCCCGATACGTTTCACAGAACTCATTGTAAATATTTGACCAATTTGTACTAATGTATTGCATTTAACTTTGCCAAGAATGTTTTACACAAACATGGTCGGTTGTGCGAGTCGTTCTTTCGGTGGAGGGGGGGGGGGGGGGGGGGGGTCTGTGAAACCAGGGACGTGCGAAGATACTGTGAGGCCAGGCCAAGAGTTGTGATTATAATTGAACTGGTTCAAAGGCTGTTTTGTTTCTTTTTTCTTCATGTCAGTAATGACTTGAGAAACTGCAAGTCGCTTCTGGTGTGAGAGAATTGACCATCTTAAACCGCCTTAAACCATCTTAAACTGGAGCCCCTGGTGGCGCAGTGGATTAAATCCCTGTGCCGGCAGGACTGAAGACTGACAGGTCGCAGGTTCGAATTCAGGGAGAGGCAGATGAGCTCCCTCTGTCAGCTCCAGCTCCCCAAGCGGGGACATGAGAGAAGCCTCTCACAAGGATGATAAAAACATCAAATCATCCGGGCGTCCCCTGGGCAACGTCCTTGCAGACGGCTGCTTCTCTCACACCAGAAGCGACTTGCAGTTTCTCAAGTCGCTCCTGACACGAAAAAAACAAAACAAAACCACCTTGAGTCGCCGATTGGCTGAGAAAGGTGGTATACAAATACAGTAAATAAATAAATAAATAAATAATATTGCCCAGGGGACACCCGGTTGTTTTGATGTTTTACCATCCTTCTTTCATGTCCCCGCATGGGGAGCTGGAACTGACAGAGGGAGCTAATCCACGCTCTCCCCGGATTTGAACCTGCAACCTGTTGGTCTTCAGTCCTGCTGGCACAAGGGCTTAACTCGTTGCGCGACTGGGTTATTCATTTGGTTGGTTATTTGTGGTACAAGTTCCAATGGATCATCTGAGCAACGGTGTTATGTCTCTGCTTGTAGTCTGTCTGTGCAATCTTCTTGCAGCAGCCGAGTGTTTTTTGTGTGTTTCAGGAGCGACTTGAGAAACTGCAAGTCGCTTCTGATGTGAGAGAATTGGCCGACTGCAAGGATGTTGCCCAGGGGACGCCCGGCTGTTTTGAAGTTTTACCATCCTTGTGGGAGACTTCTTTCATGTCCCGAATGGGGAACTGGAGCTGACAGAGGGAGCTCATCCATGCTCTCCCCAGATTCGAACCTGCGACCTGCCGGTCTTCAGTCCTGCCGGCAGAGGGGTTTAACCCATTGCACCACTGTGCTCTTGGCACGTGTTCTGGAGGCTCTAATGGGTTCTCATTGGCATGAAAGCAGAAATCCTTTTTGGCCTTGCTGTTATCATAAGAGTTTGAGCTCATGCTCGAGGCTGTAACATAACTTGAAAACTGTTATGTGAAAAGCTGACTTCACACAGAGACAGAATGCTGAAAAGCTCAAAGCTAACATCACAAAGAGAACTTCAATGTCGCCAGGTAACCCTTTGCTAGACCAGAATGAGCCCAGGCTCTGTTTAAGTTCAGAGATGGGCTTCATCATCAGACTGTATCATCTTTCCTTTGAATCCTGGTGCAGCCTGTCCTTCCTCCTACCGATATAAAGGACTTTTAAAAAGAGCCTCAAACGAAATAGCTGGATTTAAAGTATGCTCCACATTACAGATTATGTAACCCACGTAAATATCCAGGTAAGTCTTATCACTGCTACAGATGGAGAACACCTACATGAATCCAGTGGGTTTGTTGCAGATATATGTACTTAATGAGATTATATCGGAGATACGATCCAAGTCTAAATATGATTTTATACACACCATGTGCATGAAGGTAAAATAGTGAAAAGTAGAGACTTCACACTGGCAACGAAGATCTGCATAGTTAAAAGCAATGGTATTCCCTGTAGCAAGCTATGGATGTGAGAGCTGGACCATAAGGAAGGCTGAGCAAAGATAGGTGCTTTTGAACTGTGGTGTTGGAGGAAAGTTCTGAGAGTGCCTTGGACCATGAGAAGATCCAACCAGTCCATACTTCAGGAAATAAAGCCCGACTTCTCACTGGAGGGAAGGATAGTAGAGGCAAAGATGAAGTCCTTTGGCCACATTATGAGAAGACAGGAAAGCTTAGAGAAGACAATTATGCTAGGAGGAAATGGAAGGAAAAAGGAAGAGGGGCCGACCAAGGGCAAGATGGATGGATGGTATCCTTGGAGTGACTGGCTTGACTCTGAAGGAGCTGGGTGTGGTGACGGCCAACAGGGAGCTCTGACGTGGGCTGATCCAGGTCACGAAGAGTCAGAAGCGACTGAACGAGTAAACAACAAAATGTGCATGAAGGGAGTCCCTGGTGGCGCAGTGGGTTAAACCGCTGAGCTGCTGAACTTGCTGACTGGAAGGTCACAGGTGTGAATCCGAGGAGCAGGGTTAACTCCTGCTGTTAATCTCAGCCTCTGCCAACCTAGCAGTTCGAAAACATGCAAATGTGAGTAGATCAATAGGTACCACTCTGGCGGGAAGGTATTGGCACTCCATGCAGTCATGCTGGCCACATGACCTTGGAGGTGTCTACAGACAATGCCAGCTCTTCAGCTTAGAAATGGAGATGAGCACCAACCTCCGGGGTCAGACACGACTGGACTTAATGTTTGGGGGAAACTTTTACCTTAGTTTCCCGAGTGGTCACCTGTGAATTTGCACATATGGTAGTTTCTGAGCCTGACCAGACAGTTTCGGAACCTACTAGATAGATTTGAAAACTTTGGCAGTTGGCCCCGCCCACTCTCCCCTTGCGAGTATAAATAGCAGGTGGGTGGAGCCACCACATCAGTTCTCTTCTTCCGCCGCAGAAGCAGCTAGAAAAAACGAGGCATGACAAACAGCGGGGAGGATGGGTGGGGCTGTGCGAATTCACAGGTGACTACTAGGGAAACTACGGTTACAGGTAAGCAACCTATATTTTCCCATCATGGTCAACTGTGAATCACACATATGGTAGACTAGCGAGCTACTAATCTTGGCTGGTGGGCGTCATGCCACCGCAGAGGACTGTCCTTCCAAACGAAGCATCCTTCTTGGAGGAGATATCCAGCTTGTAATGGGATACAAAGGTCAGCGGTGTGGGCCTGGTGGCAGCACGGCACACACCATCCAATGGCACACCCCTCATAAAGGCCGTAGAAGTGGAAGCCGATCTGGTGGAGTGGCCCTTCACATTCTGGGGAGGCTCTCAACCTGCTAGGTGATACGCCAGTTGAATCGCTGACACAATCCAGGAGGACAGGTATTGCAACGTTACCGGAAGGCCACTGGCATCCTTCCGTCGTGCTGGAAGAAGCAAAGACCACCAGCACTGAGGCGATGGTCCTCCGCCATCAACTCCGTTGGACCGGCCATGTTGTCCGGATGCCCGACCACCGTCTCCCAAATCGTTGTTACTGAAAGGCCACTGGCATCCTTCCGATATTTCATGAAGAGTCTTGGGGATTTTCGTATCCCCGCAGAATTTGAAGAGGCACAAATGATGGGTGAAAGGGAGAAACGTGCCAAGAGGAAGGTGCGTCAAGCCAACCCCGACCGAGACCGCCTTCTACCTGGAAACCAATATCCTCACTTTGGGAGAAGATGCAGATCAAGAATAGGACTCCACAGTCACCTACGGATCCACAAGAATACTGATAATGGAAGACTATCCTACTCATCCAATGAGGGATCGCCTAAGTAAGTACATAAGAAGGGGATAGGCTAAAAGTTGCTGCTCAACTAAAGTGACTGAAGGATTTTGTTTATAAAGTAAAGGAAAAGGGTTATATAGTGTATACGTGTGTGGGGAGGGTTTATAAAAACTTAAAATAGTGTCAAACTACTCAAATAACATAAATATTAACATAAATATAGCGTCCCTACTTCGCGGATTTTCACTTATCGCAGGTCGTCCTAGAATGTAACACCCGTGATAAGTGAAGAAACACTGTATACTTGCGTTTCGTTCTGTAAAGCACGAGTCTTATTTTTTGAAAACCCATTTCTATGACCTTGGGTTAGAGAGCTTCCTGTAAACAAGATGCTTACAATTCCATTACAGGCCTTTGGCTGAAAGCAAAATTCTTTGGTCCCTTATCCTTGCCCACAAAGGAAATGAAAGCTTTCAAGAAGAGAGAAGGAAACCCCAAAAGCAAAATATGAGTTTTCATTCAAAGCAAGGAACTGGGAATAAAAATCACTAAGAATGTTTATTGTGCACATAGTTGTACGAGCCAGGCTTAGGGGTATATTCCAGAACTGGGGAAAAAATACATGAAGTCAAGAACGGTTCTGTATATGCAAAAGTCTGTCATGTTACAATTTGACCAAAGATCCACAAGATGGTCCTTCATGGCAGAATTTTTTGAAACTTTGTATGCAAAACATGGTATTGAAGATACAGGAAATATTCTGGATTTAGAGCTAGGAGCTTAAGGAGGAAAAAAAAAAGTATGCCAGCCCTACAGGAGAGACTATTATATATTCCTCTTCGTGGAGTCTGTGAAAGACGCACATAATGGGTTTTACTTCTGCGCATGCGCAGCTGTTCGGGACCTTCTAGAATCTTATAATTGAAACATTTGGTGAAGACCCCGCCCACTCTCCCTATGTAATATATGCGCCAGAGCAAGGCGGAGCCTCAGTTCCTTTTTCCGCCGCTCAGCAGCTTGGAACCTCCTTGCTGCCTTGGTGGAAAATAGATGTTTTTTGGAAGTTATTTTTTTAGAGGGTGGAAGGGAGCTGCAGGTGAAAACCTTAAGCCCTGAAAGCAAAAAAGTATGGAAAGATGCCCATCTCTGGAAAACGACTTTCTGGGTATGAATTTTGTTTTTATGAGGCCAATTGGGGAGACATACAGGACACATTGCTAGGAATCAAGGAACTTAGAGACCTTTTTGGAAAGGAGTAGAGGGATATTTAGTTCTTCCAGGATTATTTTATTTACTTAATTCTCCATGCAATAAACATATGAAAGCATCCAGGCCATGGCTTGTTCGCCATCTTGACTGATACAGTGATATTTGAGCCAACCATTCCAAAATACATATTTACAATATAAATGTTTCAAAAGAGAGCGGCATAACCATAATTTACAAAAAAAAAAAAAAAAAAATCAGCATTTAGACACGATTTAAACTGCTTGTGAATACAACTATGTGGAAAAAAGAGATAACTATGATTCCTTTTCTGTACAAGATGTGGCTTTCTGGGGAGAGGCATGGGCCATCATTTCGTTGGCTTCAGGGGAGTTCTGCGGCTGGACCTCCTTAGCCCCCTGCTAGTGGGAAGGCTTTCTCGCCCCGGAGAGGTGACATTCCACGTCGGAGGCTGTGACGATCTGCGGGATCAAGTTAAAAACAGTGTTTGGACACCAAATTCAAGAGGATAGGCATTCAGAGACATTATTGTTCTATACCCAATAGCTTGAGTTAACTGCATGCCCCAAATTTGTAAAAACTGGAGAGAACATAAAACAGCGAAGGTAGTTTTTGAACAGAAGATTCTTCATCCAAAACCCTGCAACCTCTTCAGTGGGCAAAGGGACCTCTTCCTCATGTGAACTAACTTAACCACTTCAGCATCAAACACTCAGATAGGAAGTTTTCTAGATTACCTTAAGGACGATATTGACTTGCATTAATTTGACTGAGGATATCAAGTAACTGATATCCTATGCTACCAGGACCTCCTGGTGGCGCAGCAGGTTAAACCGCTGAGCTGCTGAACTTGCTGACCAAAAAGTTGGTGGTCTGAATCCGGGGAGCGGGGTGAGCTCCCGTTGTTAGACCCAGTTTCTGCCAACCTAGCAGTTCGAAAACATGCAAATGTGAGTAGATCAGTAGGTACCGCTCCGGTGGGAAGGTAACGGCACTCCAGGCAATCATGCTGGCCACATGACCTTGGAGGTGTCTACGGACAATGCCGGCTCTTTGGATTAGAAATGGAGATGAGCACCAACCCTCAGTGGGAAGGTAATGGCACTCCAGGCAGTCATGCTGGCCACATGACCTTGGAGGTGTCTACGGACAACACCGGCTCTTTGGATTAGAAATGGAGATGAGCACCAACCCTCAGAGCCGGACATGACTGGACTTAATGTCAGTGGGAAAATCTTTATCTTTACTAAAGGATGGATGTCATCTTGTGCATATAGGCAACTGACCATAGTTTTGCTTGTCTACCTGTGACTTTTTGAGAAGCAAGAGATTTTGTGGTATAGGAATGAACTTAGCCATGCCTTTAATCCTTTTCTCTTGAGTATTAGAGTTTGTCAATGCTTGCCAGTAGAAGAAAGAGTAGATACTTCCATACAGTATTCAGTGTTTCTAACATGAAGAACTGCAGTATGACAACTCAGGTAACTATGGATATTGTCCTCAAACTTTTTAAACAGAGGGCCAGGTCACGGTCCCTCAAACTGTTGTAGGGCCGGATTATAATTTGAAAGAAATATGAATGAATTCCTATGCACACGGCACATATCTTATTTGGAGTGCAAAAGACACTTAAAAACAATACAATAATTAAAATGAAGAACAATTTTTAACAAATATAAACTTATTAGTATTTCAATAGGAAGTGTGGGCCTACTTTTGGCTGATGAAATAGGATTGTTGTTGTTGTGTGCTTTCAAGTCATTTCAGACTTAGGTTGACCCTGAGCGAGGGCCGGGTAAATGACCTTGGAGGACCGCATCCGGCCCCCGGGCCTTAGTTTGAGGGCTCCTGATATAGATAGATAGATATAGGTATACGTATGAATAATGTTAGGCCCAGTTTCTGCCAACCTAGCAGTTCGAAAACATGCAAATGTGAGTAGATCAGTAGGTACTCCTCCAGTGGGAAGATAAGGGCACTCCATGCAGTCATGCTGGCCACATGACCTTGGAGGTGTCTACGGACAACGCCAGATCTTAGAATGAGCACTATCCCCCAGAGTCAGCCACAACTAAATTTAAAGTCAGGGAAACCTTTACCTTTACCTATCAAGTAATTACTTTTAAATCTTTAAATACTGCGAATTTTAATTACTTACTAGTGCATATATCTAGCATTGCCTGGGTGTCAGAAGGGTTGCTCCCTGCCTGCTTTCTCCCTTCTCCAGCTCTGAGAAGGCCTACCTCATAATGTCTCCATGGCAACACTCTTTGCAGCTTATTCTTTCCTTCCTCCATTTCCCTCATGAATCTTTTCTTTTCTTCCTTTCCTCACTTACTTTTCCTCATATACATTTGCTCTTTTCCTTTCTTTTTCTCCTTTTCTTTCTATTCCCTCCTTTCTTTTTTCCTTCCCTTTTCTCACACCTTTCTCCCTTTCATTTCTCTTGTTTCTTTCCCTCCTTTAAATTTCTTCCTTTCTTCTTTTCCCCCTTTCCTTCCTTCCTCCCTTCCCCTCATGGGTAATCTGCTTCCCTTCCCATTATTACATCTTTCTACAGAAAACAGTGATGAGATTTTGTTTTGCATATAAAACATGTTTTTTTCCTCTCCTCTGTCCAGTAATTCCCTGGCAACATTTGATATCTGAATGCAGAAGAGACATTGGTGAGGAAAAACTCATTTTCCAGAGAGAAACCGATAGCAATAATTCTTTGCCCTTGCATGCAAGGACAAAACAGAAGAGGATTTAAGTCCTTCCTTCTGCCAGGGGTAAACAGTGCAATGCAGACAGGAAATGTAATTCATCTGCAGAGGTACCAAGATGCAACGTTCATGCAGTAATTTGGGAAAGCCTAAATCCAAATCTGGAGTCCACATTCCTCCTGAGACGCTTGGGCTTCAGTCTCACTGCAAAAAAGAAAGATGTTGCAGGCCCAGGAATGCCACCTTCAGCTCCTCAGAGGAAGGGCAGAAGAAAGACGCAGGAAATAAATTAAAAATAGATAAGCAAGCAGCACTGAATTTGACAGGAACTGACTTGGTTGGCAATATGGTCGCTGGCCAGGACATTCGTGATACTCACGGCTTATCAGGTGATGGCAAACAGATAATCTCTCTCTGAGAATCCTGAGCACCTTGTTTCTCTAAAGGAGGAAAGGTAGAAATATGAACATTTTTTAGTTGTCCCATTTATAGTTTTTGTTGGGTTTTATCTCTGACTACACAAGTCTCCAGTCCTCAATGATTACCTAGATTAGGATTAGAATGAGGTATTCCTTCCCCATATTTCTACACATGCTTATCCCAGAAAGAGCTCTGTCTTTACACTTCTTCTCTTGCCACTCTCTCCTCCCCACTTTGAAGATGAAGATGTAGCAATGGGATCTCTGTGAGAGATGAGGTAAATTCCTCTTGAAAAGTATTTTTATTGCCTTCGTTTGTTGGCCATGTGGGCTTTTCTCCATTTTGGCTCTTCCTCTTCTGCCTTTGTCTTCCTTCGAGTGACGCATTTTGCCTTTCTCCAGACAAAATGTAGCTGCATGGATATTTGTGTTGTTTTATCATTTTACCTTCCTTAGAAGATAGTTTAGTAACTAGGTAGTTCCAAGACTTTTTCTATCTAGAATGGATTTCCTTTTTACTTCAAAAATATATTTCTGGAACTTAAAAAGTTGTGACTCTGCAATCCTGATCCATCCTCTTGAATGAAAGCTAATCCAATCTCATCATAGCATGAGGTAACTTCCTCTTTAAAGATATTTTTATTGCCTTCGCTTGTTGGCCATGTGGGCTTTTCTCCATTTTGGCTCTTCCTCTTCTGCTTTTGTCTTCCTTTGAGTGAGGATGCATTTTGCCTTTCTCTAGACAAAATGTAGCTGCATGGATACTTTTGTTATTTTATCTTTTTTACCTTACGAAGATAGCTTCGTAAGCTAGGTAGCTCCAAGACCTTTTCTATCTAGAATAGATTTCTTTTTTACTTCGAAATATATATATTTTTTAAAGTTGTGACTCTGCAATCCTGATCCATCCTCTTGAATGAAAACCAATCCGATCTCATCACAGCATGAGGTAACTTCCTCTTTAAAGGTATTTTTATTGACCTGGCTTGTTGACCATGTGGTCTTTTCTTCATTTTGGCTCTTCCCCTTCTTATCCATTTACCTTTCTTAGAAGATAGCTTAGTAAGCTAGGTAGTTCCAAGACTTTTTCTATCTAGAATGGATTTCTTTTTACTTCAATATATATATATATATTTGGAACCTAAAGTTGTGACTCTGCAATCCTGATCCATCCTCTTGAATGAAAGTAACCCTATTTCATCACACATACGTTTCTGCTGGTTATGAACTCTGCTTCTCGCACTCTGTTATATTTTTGTAAAATCACCCCAAGTGAGGATTATTTTGAGCCTAACAGTTCCGATTCCCAACAGTTTTACATATGTATGAAGGAAGAGTGGGAACAGCAGCAACTTACCTTTCGCTGAAGCCGGTGTGTGTGCCAGGCTGATGCAGCTGACTCCAGCCCCAAAGGTCATGTTGTTAATCGACTCTGAAAACACACAGACTTGGGAGATTAGTGCAGCCTAGCTTAAGTACGAGTCAGGCAATTTATCTCCCCCGGCCAGGTCTCTCAAGTATTTTTTTCTCTGAAACAGGAGCGAGGAGCACCCTCACATCCCTTCTTTTTTTACACCCCCAAAGCTACCAGAATCGTGAGTGTTTTCCCACCATGTTTCCCTTTCAAGAAGAAAAGTGGATTTTCTGTCTTGAAGGGATCCGTAGAGCAGAAGAACAGCCTAGAACTGTCATGGAAAGTTGTGCAACCATCGGATGCTACTCACACAGTGGAAGAAGCCTGGTCCAGAAAAGGCTCTAGAAGCCAAGCTCATTGTTTTGAATTTGCAACTTCCTTGCTGTGAATTATCTTAAATGTTTTTAGTTGGAGAAGGAATGACAACAGAACAGACAGGAAAACTGTTCTCTCATTTAAGGACACGGCCAGTTCAGGCGGCAGTAATGCAACGTACAGCTTGTGTCTCTGTGATGAAGGAAAGCTGGAATTTTAATCCTTGGCCCACTCAGGGATTAACAGCTTCCCTCCCTCCCTCCCTCTTGTTCCTCAGCATATGTCACTTAAGTGGAACATCAGCACAAGCCTCAGGGCAGACAGGAAGGCACTATTTCCCTCGCAGTGGCATCCCGAGCTTTTCTGCAAAGCGGACGAGGGAACTGTAAGGGCGTCTCATGTTAACATCAAATCTTTTGACACCCGAGTGAGGGAAAGGGTGGCAACCCATCTTAGTGGCAAGGTTGACATAATTGTAGGGGAGGAGGTTCATTTTCCCACATGTGGTGGGATTGTAGACAAATTCAGAACTATTATAGTAAATTAAGACATGTAATGGAAGAAATCAAAGGGAAAAAATAAAGTAGGATGAAGCCAGATTCATGTATCTCATTATAGAGGCAAAGTAAGATAACAATAATTGGACAGAAATCCTAAAATATATGATAGCCGCAATACAGGCTGTGATAGCCCGAGGATGGAGAGACAATCCAAGATGGGATTTAGAAACCTGGTGGTTTTATTTCTTGGAATACATAATAAATAATTTCATTAATCAAAGGAAAAACAAATATATGAATAAGTCATACAAAACAAAACTGGTATAGGAAATGGTATACTCTAACCAACAAAATAGATGGAGATGATAGATACAGCATTTTGAACCAGGCTTTCCACACGGTTAAATCAATGCTATGACATCATTTGGAATGGCTGTTCCAGAAAGGGGGGGGGGAATGGGGGGAGAGGGTATGGGTAATTGGAGATACACATCTACGGAATGTATAAAGCATCTTATAAGGTAAAGTGACTTTTGGAATAATGTATACTGAGATGATGATAATAATAATAATAATAATTATTATTATTATTATTATTAACAGGAAATGAATACGTAAAACTACTCTGAGACTTCCGGATTCAGACTGACAGAGTTCTGGAGCACAATACTCCTGACCTCACGATCGTATTAAAAAAAAAAAATGTATGGATTGTCGATGTTGCAATCCCAGGCAACAGCAGGAGTGAAGAGAAGCAACTGGAAAAGTTGAAACGATATGAGGATTTAAAGATCAAACTGCAAAAACTCTGGTACAAGCCAGTCAAGGTGGTCCCAGTGGTGATCAGCACACTGGGTGCAGTGCCTAAAGACCTTGGCTTGCACTTAAACACAATCAAAATTACTATCTACCAGCTGCAAAAGGCCACCCTACTGAGATCTGCACGCATTATTCGCCGATACATCACACAGTCCTAGACACTTGGGAAGTGTCTAACGTGTGATCCAATACAACAGCCAGCAGGGTGATTTTGTTTGCTGTGGACTCATCTTCTTGTGTTTCAAATAATAATAATAATAATAATAATAATAATAATAATAATAATAATAATTATTATTATTTTATTTTTGTATCCCGCCACCATCTCCCTGAAGGGACTTGGGTGCTTACATGGAGACCCAGCCCAAACAGTCAGAGTTAACATATACATGATACAAATACATATACAAACATCATAAAAACATAATTCATCATACAACAACTAGTAGCTGAGCTTATTGGACATTTCAAAACTAGGGGATGGGGCAATGGCTTGTGCAATACAATTGCAAGGACAGGGCTTTTAGAAAAGTGCAAGAGCCAGATGATAAATTAGGACTGGAAGGGCCAAGTTAAATTTGTGCACTACAATTACAAGACAGGGACAATAATAAAGTGCAAGAGCTGAAAATTAAGGCTAAAAGGGCCAATACATCTAGTGAACTGATTACTCAAAGGCACATTGGAACATCCACGTTTTTAGGTCTTTACAGAAAGTGGACAGGTTGGATGCTAATCTAATCTCCCTGGGGAAAAAGTTCCAAATCTGGGGGACCACCACCGAGAAGGCCCTCTGCCTTGTCCCCACCAACTGAGTTTGTGATGGAGGTGGAAGTGAGAGAAGGGCCTCTTCAGCAGATCTAATCATCAGAAAAAAGATTCCAGCTAATAATTAAGAATCTTTTGACTATAAGACATGGCCAGGCCAGGATGGGGGCGGGGGGGGGGGGGGTTAATGTTCCATTTTGGAAGTCTTTAAACAGAAATAGGATAGCTATCTCTTAGGAGTACTTTAGGAATATATTCCACCACAGCAGAGATTTGGACTAGATCAGAGGTTCTCAACCTGTGGGTTCCCAGATGTTTTGGCCTTCAACTCCCAGAAATCCTAACAGCTTGTAAACTAGCTGGGATTTCTGGGAGTTGTAACACCTGGGGACCCACAGGTTGCGAGTCACTGGACTAGATGGACCTTGCGGTACCTCTTAATGTTATAATTCCACAATAAGTAATCCATTCTTGAACAGATGACAGTTTCATAAACTTACTCTCTGGAGTGCTGATTGCTCGGGTTTCCATCGGAATACTTGATCTAGAAGACTGTTGGTTTAGACTGCAGAAAGATGCTGGAAGCAAAAAAAGGAAAGAAAGGAGAAGGGGAGAAAAAGAGAGAAGCTTGAAATGCACTGATGGTAGAGCTGGCTGCTTTTGCAGAAAATCCTTTTTGAGGTGGGGAAGTGGAGCTTACCTTTACTGTCATCTGGAGAGTCAGGCCTCTGTCCCAGACTTCTACTGCGATGTTTGTTAGCATCCTCTGCTGCCTTTTTTGCAGAATTAAGGATGGCAAAGATATTGAGGGACATACTCCTACAAAAAAGCAGAACAGGGCAGAAAAGATTGGAGGAAGTTCAGTCACTACTTCAGGGCTGGGAAAGCGGTGCGCTCCAAATGTCTTTAATAATAATAATAATAATAATAATAATAATGTATTGTCGAAGGCTTTCATGGCTGGAATCACTAGGTTCTTGTGGGATTTTTCGGGCTATAGGGCCATGTTCTAGAGGCATTTCTCCTGACGTTTCGCCTGCATCTATGGCAAGCATCCTCAGAGGTAGTGAGGTTGTAATGTAACAATAATAAATGTAATGTTCGTTTGTGGGATTAACAGAACTCAAAAACCACTGGACAAATTGACACCAAATTGGGACACAAGGCACCTAACAACCCAAGGTATGCCCTTCACTAAAAAAAAAAAAATGATTTTGTCATTTGGGAGTTGTAGTTGCTGGGATTTATAGTTCACCTACAATCAAAGAGCATTCTGAACCCCACCAATGATGGAAATGAACCAAACTCGGCATACAGTTCTCCCATGACCAGCAGAAAATACTGGAAGCGTTTGGTGGGCAAAGTCCTTTGGTTTTGGAGTTGTAGTTCACCTACATCCAGAGAGCACTCTGGACTCAAACAATGATGGATATGGACCAAACTCTACACGAATACTCAACATGCCCAAATGTGAATACTGGTGGAGTTTGGGGAAAATAGAATCTTGACATTTGCTGGGATTTGTAGTTCACCTACAATCAAAGAGCATTCTGAACCCTACCAACGATAGGATTGGGCCAAACCTCCCACACAGAACCCCCATGTGGGCCACAGCAACGCATGGCAGGGAACAGCTAGTATATAAATAAAAACGTAATGTTTGTTTGTGGGATTAATGCAACTCAAAAACCAGTGGGCGAATTGACACCACATTTGGACGGTTTACACCTAACAACCCAATGTATGTCCTTCACTCTAATTCTATGCAGAACAGGGCAGAAAAGATTGGAGGAAGTTCAGTCACTGGTTCAGGGCTGGGAAAGCGGTGCGCTCCAAATGTCTTTAATAATAATAATAATAATAATAATAATAATAATAATAATAATAATATAATAAATGTAGTGTTCGTTTGCGGGATTAACAGAACTCAAAAACCACTGGACAAATTGACACCAAATTGGGACACAAGATACCCAACAACCCAAGGTATGCCCTTCACTAAAAAAAATTGATTTTGTCATTTGGGAGTTGTAGTTCTTGGGATTTATAGTTTACTTATAATCAAAGAGCATTATGAACTCCACCAATGATGGAATTGAACCAAAAATGGCACACAGGACTCCCATGACCAACAGAAAACACTAGAAGAGTTTGGTGGGCATTGACCTTGAGTTTGGGAGTTGTAGTCCACCTACATCCAGAGGGCACTGTGGACTCAAAGAATGATGTATCTGGACCAAACTTGGCACGAATATTCCATATGCCCAAATATGAACACAAATGGAGTTTGGGGAAAATAGTCCTTGACATTTGGGAGTTGTAGTTACTGGAATTTATAGTTCACCTACAATCAAAGAGCATTCTGAACCCCACGAACGACAGAACTGGGGAAAACTTCCCACACAGAACTCCCATACTTAAGGCCATCCAGTCCAACTCCCTTCACCAAGGCAAGAAAACGTAATCAAAGCCCTCCAGTCATAAAACAGCCATAGATATAGATAGATAGATAGATAGATATGATTCACACACACACACACATAGTATCATAGATTTAAAGGGACAATTATATGTGCATGTTCCAGAGTGGGCAAACCAGACAATCTCCACATCAACACTGACAAAGAAATAGCAAGAAATACTGTTTACCCACAAGCAATTTTTTTTTACATAGATTAGAAACCAACACTTTCTAATTACTTTATTTTCCAGATCGCTAGACTGGGCCACAGCAATGCATGGTTCTTATAGTTTCTAATTTGGCAACTGTTATAGAAATCCTATACCATCGTTATAAGTTTAAATAAAATTGAGGGCAGTTCGATGGGTCTCAATTTCCTAGCTGCTTGTAGCGGCAGATTAGAAGAACTGGGCAGTAGCCCCTCCCACGGGCTATTTATGCTGACGGGGAGAGTGGGCGGGGCTACACTAACGGTCTTTTTGGTCTCGAGAATTTCCGATGCTGCCTGCACAAGTGCAGGAATATACCATATGTGCAAATTCCCAGCTGACCACAACGGGAAAAATAAATAAACCAATCAAGTAAAATAAACAGTACAAAATAACATAATGGAAAATAAAACACAGTGGGCGGGCCAAATGCACGACATAAAATGATAAAACACTGGATGAGATAGCAATGAAAAGGTACATTTGTGGGGGAGGAGCTCATAGGGGACTGAACAGTGGAATTAGACTTTCAATAAGGTGGGGGAAAGTGCAATATGAGGGAAAACAGTGTAGGTGAAACAACAGAACTGAAATATATGGTCACTCTACAAAGGCACATTGGAAAAGCCAAGTCTTTAGGTTTTTCTTAGACTCTGAACTGTATCAAACACTGTTGGTGGTGCAAGACAGATCCAAACTGAACTGAAAAGGAAAGTGTTAAACAACCAAATCTGTCAAATTCCATACCTGTTCCTGGGTTTCAGAATGCCTGGCCTGGGTGTAGTAAACACAAATGGAGCTGAAGGAGGAGGGGATTTCGAAGAGGAAGAACGTCTTGCGGTGGCTGGAGAACCCATTGGATTTGGATCAATGGACGGAAGTACAGGTCTCTCCGAAGTGGGAGACTGCAACTGAAAGGAGAAAGCAGTAGCATGCTTAGTCTCCATAATGCAGAGGGCCTTTATCACTGAGATTGCAGTGACTCAGCAATGCACACCAAAACTATTCCCATTTATAAACAGTTAAAGTTTATATAAATAACTGATGGCTAGGTCAGGTCATAGCAGACGACTGTGTTAAGATTTTATCCTACAATCCAGGGGATTTGAATACAAAAGGATCCAGATTTTAGGCCTCAGGAGTGTTGGTTTCTGTAGGCTGGCTTAATCAACAATGTTCTGTCTTAGGATAATGGTAAGGATGCTAGTTGTGGGAGGGATGGAAGGATGGTGCAGCATGAAGACCACATCAGAGAATTTCCAGCACCTGCCCCAAAGTATAGGTAAAGGTAAAGGTTTTCCAATGACACTAAGTCCAGTTGTGTCCGACTCTGGAGGTCGGTGCTCATCTCCATTTCGAAGCCAAAGAGCCGGCGTTGTCTGTAGACACCTCCAAAGTCATGTGTCCGGCATGACTGCATGGCGCACTGTTACTTTATTGATTTACTCACACTTATATGTTTTCAAACTGGTCAATGTTTTAACAAGGCGACCCTAATGATATTTTTTTTATGGAGTTTGCTATGGTTTTATATTATTTTAATATTTGTAATTGTATTTTATGGTCTTGGTACTGACTGTAAACCGCCCCGAATCGCCTGCAGGCTGAGAGGGACAGTATATAAATATAGCAAATAAATAAATAAATAAATAAATAACTGCTAGGTTGGTAGAAGCTGGGGCTAACAAAAGAAGCTCACCCCACTACCCGGATTTGAACTGGTAGCCTTTTGGTCAGCAGCTCAGCGGTTTAACCCACTGCACCACCAAGGGCTCCATAGTATAGAGAGGATGAAATGAATCAAAGCAGCATTTAAAGCCAATGTAAAAGCAATATCAGAGTCAGTAGTATGAAAAGATCTGTACCCTGCACCCAGGGAATGTAAGCTGCAGTCTAATAAATCCCAGCTAGTTTTTTCATTCTTTCGACAGCCACCCCTCTCCCTTCCAACACACTAGCTTCCGGCTCCATCAGATTACGACAAGATGGTCATTTCCAGAGCTGAGAATAATTACCTGTCTGGGACTATAACCCACAGAATTGCCCAGCTATTTTTTGATATTGTTACTACGTAACGGTGCTTGACGCATTCTTGCTGGCCACATGACCTTGGAGGTGTCTACTGACAACACCGGCTCTTCGGCTTAGAAATGGAGATGAACACCAACCCCCAGAGTCGAACACAACTGGACTTAATGTCAGGGGACAACCCCACCTCCCCCCACCCCCCCGGCACCAACTGCTGCTCTGGCCAGAGTGAAGAGGGGGTTGAAGACAGTTCCATCTTGTCTCCTGTGCTTTAATAATAATATAATATATTGTTTATACATATATTTGTAATATTATAATGTAATACAATAAAATTGTTAACATAGTACAATATCAGTATTATATATTACTATATTGTGCTACACCATTATATTGTGATATTATTAGTAATATTACATGTAATATAAAATATATAATTATAATATTGTATTATTAGTAGTAGTATTATATTGTATTACATTATAATATTATAAATATTATATGTATATACAATATATTATATTATATTATATTATATTATATTATATTATATTATAAGTAAAGCACAGGAGACAAGATTATATGCCGCCCTTCTCACCCCGAAAACGACTCAGAGCAGCGTACAAGATATATATATATATATATATAAATATATATTTAAATTATTAGCATAGTACAATATCAGTGTTATATATTACTATATTGTACTACACCATTATATTGTGATATTATTAGTAATATTACATATAATATAAAATATATAATTATAATATTGTATTATTAATAGTATTATATATATCTTGTAAGCTGCTCTGAGTACCCTTCGGGGTGAGAAGGATGGCATATAAATGTCGTAAGTAAATAAATAAATACATGCTACAACATACAATCACAAATCTTCCAAAAACAAAAGATATATATGTGTGTGTGTGTGTATATAATTAAATTATTAGCATAGTACAATATCAGTATTATATATTACTATATTGTATTACACTATTATATTGTGGTGATATTAATAATGTTACATGTAATATAAAATATATAAATATAATATTGTATTATTAGTAGTAATACACACACACACACACACACACACACATACATATATACATATATATATCTTGTAAGCTGCTCTGAGTCCCTTTCAGGGTGAGAAGGGCGGCATATAAATGTTGTAAATAAATAAATAAATACTACAACATACAATCACAAATCTTAAAAAAAAAAAAACAAGCAAACCTTGCAGTCATATTAGCCACAGGCTATTGTGGAAAGGATTGGTCCGTTGGCAAAGTGGGTTGGTACAAAACGGGCAGTGACTTCAGAAGATGTCCTTACCTGGCCTGCGGCCCGAGTGTTCAGGGCTTCCACGACTCCGGGCATTTCCTGGCCTTCCTCAGACTCCGTTTGCAGCTGCTCCTCATACTTCTTCATGTCATACTCTAACTCAGCCGCCAGTTGCTTGTCCATGGCAAAGAACTCCTTGACCTCATTTTTGTAGTCTTGCATCACCACCTAGAAAATTCAACAGAGTCAGATTTGGTCAAGGAAGGACATGTTGGGTCTCTGTCTACTTTTGAGCCAAAGGCTTTGCACAGATCAAAAGTGTCCAATGGCAAATTGTTTCGAAAGAATGAGCAATTAACACAATCTGGGAGATAGAACAACACAACCAAAATAGGAAGAGCCAGGGTTCAGGTGGAGGATTGTTCCTGGCTTTCCCAGTTTAATTGCACGAAAGGAGCAGGAAGCATTACCCGCAGGTAGCTCATAAGCTCTCGCAGTACTGGAAGCCTGTTTTGCTCCAACAAGGTCTTCAGTGAAGTGATGATGGGGATGATGTTTTCTATAAAGTGTCGCTTTTGAACCTATGGAAGAAATCAAAAGGACAGGTAAATGGACTAAGATGAAGAAGAGTGCTTTGTTCCACACAAGAGGGATGTTTAGTGTGTTGATAAGGGGTAGGACTGAAAGAACATCTCTAGACAGAAAGGCTTGAAAGAAACAAAACACAGGGCAGTTTGGGAGGAACAACCACCCACTCCTAGATAAAGGTTCCATCATTGAAGAAGCAGCTGCAATACATGTTCTGCTCCAGCACTCGCTTACATGCTCTATACCAGTATTTCTCAACCCAAGGGGTGTTGCGAGGGGTTGTCGGAAGGGTCACAAAAGATATTTAGCCACCTGCACTCCTTATATTTTTATTGGTTTTATACTAATTTATGCAATGCTTTTGATATGAAATATATATCATGAAACACAGTATTTTCTGTTGGTCATGGGGGTTCTGTGTGGGAAGTTTGGCCCAATTCTATCATTGGTGGGGTTCAGAATGCTCTTTGATTGTAGGTTAACTATAAATCCCAGCAACTACAACTCCCAAATGTCTATTTCCCCCAAACTCCATCAGTGTTCACATTTGGGCATATTGAGTATCCGTGTCAGGTTTGGTTGAGATCCCTCATTGTTTGAGTCCACAGTGCTCTCTGGATGTAGGTGAACTACAACTCCAAAACTCAAGGTCAATGCCCACCAAACCCTTCCAGGGTTCTCTGTTGGTCATGGGAGTTCCGTGTGCCAAGTTCAGTTCAATTCCATCGTTGGTGGAGTTCAAAATGATCTTTGATTGTAGATTAACTATAAATCCCAGCAGCAACAACTCCCAAAAGTCTATTTTCCCCAGACTCCATCAGTGTTCACATTTGGGCATATTGAGTATCTCCGCCAAGTTTGGTTGAGATCCCTCATTGTTTGAGTCCACAGTGCTCTCTGGATGTAGGTGTACTACAACTCCCAAACTCAAGGTCAATGCCCACCAAACCCTTCCAGTATTCTCTGTTGGTCATGGGAGTTCCGTGTGCCAAGTTTGGTTCAATTCCATCGTTGGTGGAGTTCAGAATGCTCTTTGATTGTAGGTGAACTATAAATCCGAGCAACTACAACTCACAAATGACAAAATCAACCCCCACAACTATTCACATTTGGGCATATTGGGTGTTTGTGCCAAATTTGGTTCAGTGAATGAAAATACATCCTACATATCAAATATTTACATTATGATTCATAACAGGAGCAAAATTACAGTTGTGAAGTAGCAATGAAAATAATGTTATGGTTGGTGGTCACCACAATATGAGGAATTGTATTAAGGAGTCACGGCATTAGGAAGGTTGAGAACACTGCTCTATATAGTTTTGGAGCTGCAATACTTGCCTGGGAGATGAGTTTCTTCTGTGCCACTTGCATGACAGCATTAGCCATGGCCAGCTCATCCTCGTCAGGTTGGAGGTCATCCTCTGGTCTGGATCTCATGGCTGACAACTTGATTTCCTTGCAGCTCAGGATCTCAAAGGTGTCTGAGAGCAGCTCGTTGGCCTCCATGTCAAGAGGGAGGACTCCATCAACAAAGTAGGCTAAGGGGAACAACAGAGAGAGAACAAGAAAGGTGCATATGCCACTCCAAAGTGTTTCAGTTAGGAGTGACTTGGTAGTCCTGACAGCATATTTAAGTCTACGGAAGGGACAGGAAAAGAAAACCATGCTTGCTTTCCACACCATGCACTTGATATCCAAAGACAATGGCTTACCTAAGATGTTCAGGCTGATTTTCGAGGTGATGTTGAATCTCTGTTCATCGGTAAAATGCTCAAGCAGAAACTTGTAAATATGCATCCGCTTTTCCTTGTTGGCTTTGCCCTTCAGGGAAAACCGATGCTTCTCCCTGTAGTGAAGACAAATGACAGATCCATCAGCTAACATGCATACACGGCCATCTTCTGGGTTCTTTCCATGTTTGAAAAGGTTGGGCTTATCTAGGACAGGGTTGTATACTCTCACCCAACTTATTCAACTTGTATGCAGAACGCATCATGCGATGTGTGGGGCTTGACAAATGCAAGACTGGGGTAAAAATTGCTGGAGAAAATATTAACAACCTTAGATATGCAGATACCACTTTGATGGCCAAAAGTGAGGAGGAGCTGAGGAGCTTTTTAATCAAGGTGAAAGAGGAAAGTGCAACGCACACCAAATAAAATTTAAAAAGCATCAGATTTGATTTCAGTATGGTAATTTTCCTATTACTGTACCTCCTTCTCTGCCTCTCAGATCTTGCACATGCGCACCTGCACCACTTCACTGCAGTCTTCAGGAGCAAGATCTGAGAGGCAGAGGAGGAGGCATGGTAATAGGATACAAGGGCGGGCCAGACAGGTAAAAGAGGTGTGTTTTTCTGGGCCCAGAGCCACTCTATCTCTTTTTTCCATACCCCGGGCGCTCTGGACACCTGCAGCTTGCTCCACCCTTCATTTACACCTTCCCGGTGAGGTGCCCCTTCACCTCACCATTGGGACCGCATTGTCCACAAATTCTGATGAATGGATTTTCTTCTACCGTACTTGTACAGCGTCGCCCTTAATGCTTTCATACAGTCGCTGCATACGGCAGGGATGCGGCCACTGCCATTTTTGAGCTCCCCCCACACCATGTAAATATCTGATATGCAGGATGTATTTTCATCCGCTGGACCTAATTTGGCACAAATGCCCCATACGCCCAAATTTCAATACTGGGGGTGAGGGGGAAAATAGATCTTGATATTTGGGAGTTGTAGTTGTTGGGATTTATAGTTCACCTACAATCAAAGAGCATTCTGAACTCCACCAACAAATGAATTGGCCCAAACTTCTCACACAGAACCCCTATGATCAACAGAAAATACTGTGTAGTTTGGGGAAATAGATGTCATTTGGGAGTTGTAGTTGCTGGGATTTATAGTTCACCTACAATAGCATTCTGAACTCCACCAATGATGGAATTGAACCAAACTTGGCACACAGAACTCCCATGACCAACAGAAAATACTGGAAGGGTTTGCTGGACATTGACTTTGAGTTTTGGAGTTGTAGTTCACCTGCATCCAGGGAGTACTGTGAATCTGGACCAAACTTGACATGGATACTCAATATGCCCAAATTTAAACACTGGTGGAGTTTGGGGAAAATAGACCTTGATATTTGTGAGTTGTAGTTGCTGGGATTTATAGTTCACCTACAATCAAAGAGCATTCTGAACCCCTCCAACCATCATGTTGGGCCAAACTTCTAACACAGAACACCCATGACCAACAGAAAAAACAGTGTTTTCTGATGGTCTTTGGTGACCCCTCTGACACCCCCTCGCGACCCCGCCCCTGGGTCCCGACCCCCAGGTTGAGAAACACTGATTTAGTGGATTAGTATATATTTGGTTTCTCAAGGAAAATAAAGGGAAGATACTGTTGTAATACATCCAGCTCTTAACTATAAAGGAGAAAGAGACTGACAATTGCGGCCAAGGTTCATCACGATAGACATTTCCCATTAAATGTCTATGCTGGCAACACCTATAACAATGAATGGTATCAATGACCTGTAACCACATCAAGGCAGTGTTGTTGGACTACAAGACCCATCAGCTCTAGTTGGTATAAGTGAATGGTGAGGCATGCATGCTGGGGATTGCAGCACATCATAAAAATGACATGATATCCATGCAAGACTCGCCATTACATGCAAACAAAATACAAAACAAAATAAGTGAAAATCCACACACCGTTCACTCTGCGGGAATCTGTTGTACTTTTCATGTCTCTCGTAGCTGTTGAAGTGGAAGACGCATTCGATGAAGTGCTGGGAGAACATGGCTGGATTCCTCTTGAGCAGGAGGTGAGCCAGGCAGAATGTGGCCAAGCTGTGGCAGAGATCAAAGAAAGGAAAACCCTTCAGAGAGAGAGCTCAGTTGGCATCATGCTTCATAAACATGGGCCACATTCTGAGAGGTGCAAGGGCTTGGCTCCATCTATAATCCCCTCCATAGTGAGCAGAGCGCAGCCCATCACCCTTTGACACTGTCTTCCCAGAGTGGGGAAAAAGGAAATCAGCTAATTGGGAAACAGTGAAGGGGGTGGAAATATCCCTCATTAAATTATTATTCGGAAGGCCCCAGTGGTGCAGCGGGTTAAACTGCTGAGCTGCTGAACTTGCTGACCGAAAGGTGACCAGAGAGCTGGGTGAGCTCCCATACTAGCCCTAGCTTCTGCCAACCTAATAGTTCGAAAACAATCAAATGTGAGTGAATCAATAGGTACTGCTCTGGCAGGAAAGTAATTGCGCTCCATGCTGGCCACATGATTTTGCCTATGGATAACTCTGGCTTTTCAGCTTAGAAATTGAGATGAGCACCAACCCCCAGAGTTGGACACAACTGGTCTTAAGGTCAGGGGAAAATCTTTACCTAAGTTATTATCGCAATGTAATATAATTACAGCTCCCTGGTGCTGCAGCAGGTTAAAACACTGAACTTGCTGACCAAAAGGTTGGTGGTTTGAATCCGGAGAGCAGGGTGAGCTCCTGCTGCTGGGCCCAGCTTCTGCCAACATAGCAGTTTGAAAACATGCAAATGTGAGTAGATCAATAACGATCACTTCTGCAGGAAGGTAATGGCGCTCCATGCAGTCATGCTGGCCACATGATCTTGGAGGTATCTACGGACAACGCTGGCTCTTCGGCTTAGAAATGGAAATGAGCACCACGCCACAGAGTTGTACACAACTTGACTTAGTCTCAAGAGGAAATAATAATAATAATAATAATAATAATAATAATACTTTATTTATACCCCGCCACCATCTCCCCAAGGGGACTCAGGGCAACTTACACGAGGCGAAGCCCAGCAATACAACAATGCAAATGTACAACATAAGAATACAGCAATAAAATATAAAATATAATTAGCAACTCCTGAGCTACTTTTTCCTCTTTTGCACAGATCATACTACTAATAGAGCTTTGGTTTTTTTCCTTGAAACACAACTGAGGCAATGACCGACAGCAACATACTTCAAAATTAGTTACATCATTTACAGCTTGCACTTTGCATGTGGCTAGGGGAAGCCTCTCATGTTCCAACTTCTTTCAGACTAGAACCTTGTTTAGAAACTAGACTGTTTAAGAAACATACCGTCTATTTTTATGCTACTCCTTCACTCAGGACTCCTTGGAGACGCTTACAGGGCCAACCCACAACTTTGCTTCTCATTATAATTCAATATAATTAAAGAGTAAAACAACTCAATTGTACAGTAAGCACCGACGGCAATTACAGTGTTAGTGATAATTAAGTAGCAGTCACGCATGCTGGCAAGACCTTATTAAGAGATCTGGCCTGAATCTCAGCTTGGAATTTATAGTGACTGGGAGCATCTTAAAGAAAAATTGGTTGCCTTCATTCAGAAACATGGTCCCTTGGGGCAAAAAAACCCCCAAACCACCCCATATATAGTGTCCAATATACTTTAGCCCTTCTCTGTCTTGTGTTCTGAATGCATACAGAGGGAGGAATCTATATAGGGAGGAAAGAACAGAATTGGGTTAAAATCTCCCTATTGCTCAGTGGCGCAGTCCGTTAAAGCGCTGAGATGCTGAACTTGCAGACCAAAAGGTTGCAGGATTGAATCCAAAGAGTGGCACCAGCTCCCACTGTTAGCCCCAGCTTCTGCCAACCTAGCAGTTCGAAAACATGCAAATGTGAGTAGATCTGGCGGGAAGGTAATGCAGTCCACATGATCTTGGAGGTGTCTATGGACAACGCCGGCTCTTTGGCTTAGAAATAGAGATGTTACAGTAAGTCGTATGTGTGTGTGTTAAAGAAAACCTTATGCTGTTAATTATTATGGGCAGTTCCTAATGTAGGTCAACAAGCAAGTTTGGACCACACCCGGTGGGGTATAACTGCATGGATTTTAGAATACAGTTCAGCTTTTGCTCTGAGGAGCTTTTGCTCGGGCATTTTGCAGACCGAAAGGTTGCAGGATTGAATCCAAAGAGTGGCACGAGCTCCCATTGTTAGCCCCAGCTTCTGCCAACCTAGCAGTTCAAAAACATGCAAATGTGAGTAGGTCAATAGGTACCGCTCCAGCGGGAAGGTAACGGCACACCAAGAAGTCATGCTGGCCACATGATCTTGGAGGTGTCTATGGACAATGCCGGCTCTTTGACTTATAGAGATGTTACAGTAAGTCGTAACAGGATCAAGTAAGTGTGTTAAAGAAAACCTTATGCTGTTAATTATTATGGGCAACTGCTAATGTAGGTCAACTAGCAAGCTTGGACCACACCGGGTGGGGTATAATTGTACAGATTTTAGAATACAGTTCAGTTTTTGCTCTGAGGAGCCTTTGCTCAGGCATTTTGCTCAACCATTTGTACAGCTCTCTCATTTAGAGTAAGCTGAAGAAGCCTTATTCTGTATTGCTTACAAAGACTATGTAGGTCTCTTACACTGTTTGTTTTGTTTGCAACATTGCAAGTTTATGTTTTAACTCTGCTGATAAGAGTAAAGTTTTTCTGTTTTTTTCCCTCTTGCCTGGGTGCAATTTTATTGTGTCTTCTGCATTGTACTTGACTGAAATATGCTTAGCGCAACAATGAGCACTAACCCCCAGAGTTGGACACGACCGGACTTAATTTCAGAGGAAAGCCTTTACCTTTTTACCTTTTTACATTTACACAAATGACCAGCCACTGCCAGAAGGGATGGAGAGCTTAATCTATGCTGATGATCATGCCATTACTACTCAAGCAGGGAGCTTTGAGATGGTTGAACAGAAGCTCTCTGAAGCTCTAGGTGCTCTTACTGCCTATTACAGGGAAAACTAGCTGATCCCTAACCCATCTAAAACACAGACATGAACTTTTCACCTTAAGAACAGACAAGCATCCCGAGCTCTGAGTATTACCTGGGAAGGAATACCACTGGAGCATTGCAGCACACCCAAATACCTGGGAGTCACTCTGGACCGTGCTCTGACTAACAAGAAGCACTGCCAGAATGTCAAGTAAAAAGTGGGCGCTAGAAACAATATCATACGAAAGCTGACTGGCACAACCTGGGGATCACAACCAGATACAGTGAAGACATCTGCTCTTGCGCTATGCTACTCTGCTGCTGAGTACGCATGCCCAGTGTGGAACACATCTCACCACGCTAAAACAGTAGATGTGGCTCTTAATTAGACATGCCACATCATCACGGGGTGTCTGCGCCCTACACCACTGGAGAAATTACACTGCTTAGCTGGTATTGCACCACCTGACATCCGCCGGGAAGTAGCGGCCAATAGTGAAAGGACCAAGGCAGTGACATCTCCAGCCCACCCCTTGTTTGGGTATCAGCCAGCACATCAATGACTTAAATCAAGAAATAGTTTTCTAAGATCTACAGAGACACTCGCTGGAACACCACAGCAAGCGAGAGTCCAAAAGTGGCAGGCTCAAACCCAGAACCTCCATCAATGGCTGATACCAAATGAGAGACACCCCCCTGGGCACACAGAAAACTGGGCGACTTGGAAGGCGCTGAACAGACTGCGCTCTGGCACCACAAGATGCAGAGCCAACCTTAAGAAATGGGGCTACAAAGTGGAATCCACGACATGCGAGTGTGGAGAAGAGCAAACCACTGACCACCTGCTGCAATGCAACCTGAGCCCTGCCACATGCACAGTGGAGGACCTCCTTGCAGCAACACCAGAGGCACACCAAGTGGCCAGATACTGGTCAAAGGACATTTAATACAATACCAAGTCTGCAATTTTTGTGTTTTGTTTGTTTGTTTGTTTTATAAAGCAATACAACTGGTTTGGTTTGCTCCTGACACGATAAATAAATAAATAACCTTTTAGCTTATTGGCCTACTGTAGGGTCCAATCTGGATCAGAATTTCTGATCTTAGAGCAAAAGTTTTGCTACTTTGGGAAATGCACACACAGGCCCTGCGCTCTCATGCCCGTGTACTATCTGGCTGCAAAAAAAAGATCTTAGACCAAGATGTCCCCAATGAATAAGAACAGATTGCCCTCCACACACAACACACATCCCTTTAACAGTAGGGAGTCGATTAAGCCCATTTCTTCAAGCAAATCCTGCAGATTTTATCTCCATGCAACAGGAGATCTAAATGAAGAAAAGCTGCAATGAACTGCTTGATGGAAAGGGAGAGACAGACAGAGGGCAATAAGGATCAGCAACCCAGATGTGCTGTGAATTGCAAACTTATGTTACCAATTAATGCCTGGGATAGCAGTAGATTTACGAGGAGAGCTTAGGAAGAGTCGTATTTTCATCTGCCATCTCAAAAGAGTCTCAAACATTCACAGGATCTGATTGCGAGCAGTTTGAATAGCTAGCTTGAAAGATTAGCATAACATTTTTTTTTTGTTGCTCTGAAATGTGTAAATGAGAGTCTCGCCTGGTTCCGTCAGTATTTGTTCACAATCTGGTTTTTTTTCCAGTATGCTGCCGGTTTTGAAGAGCCAGAGAATTTTTTTTCAAGCGAGAATACAGCCTAACCTGACGCACAGGTTTAATATGCCCTTAGGCGCTTGTTATGCCACCAATTTTTGTCCCTTCTGGTTACAAAATTCATACTTGTGGCTCACAATTGATGGACTCACACAATCAATTGAGATTTCTTCAACTCCTGGACAGCCCTGACATAAAGTAACAAACACAGAAGTGTCTTTTACATACACATCTATATAAATAAAAATGTAATGTTCGTTTGTGGGATTAACATAATTAAAAAAACACTGGATGAACTGACACCAAATTTGGACACAAGACACCTACAAACACAAGGAGTGACCATCACAAAAAAATTAATTTTGTCATTTGGGAGTTGTAGTTGCTGGGATTTATAGTTCACCTACAATCAAAGAGCATTCTGAACTCCACCAATGATGGAACTGAACCAAACATGGCATACAGGACTCCCATGACCAACAGAAAACACTTGAAGGGTTTGGTCGGCATTGACCTTGAGTTTGGAGTTGTAGTTCATCTACATTCAGAGAGCACTATGGACTCAAACAATGATGGATCTGGACCAAACTTAGCACAGATACTCAACATGCCCAAATGTAAACACTGGTCCAGTTTGGAGGAAATAGACCTTGACATTTGGGAGTTGTAGTTACCAGGATTTATAGTTCACCTACAACCAAAGAACATTCTGAAGTCCACGAACAACGGAATTGGAGCAAACTTCCCACACAGAACCCCCATGACCAGCAGAAAATACTTAAGGCCATCCAGTCCAACTCCCTTCACCAGGTCAAGAAAACGTAATCAAAGCCCTCCTGACAAAGAGCCATCCAGCTATAGATATAGATAGATATATATGATTCACACATACAGATATAGTATCATAGAGTTGAAAGGGACCCCTAAAGAAGGACAATTATATGTTGCACATTCCAGAGTGGGCAAACCAGACAATCTCCACATCAACACTGACAAAGAAACAGCAAGAAATACTGTTTATCTTCAAGCATAAAGAAATTACATGTATTAGAAACCAACACTTTCTCATTACTTTATTTTCCAGATCACCAGACTGGGCCACAGCAACCTGTTGGCAGGAGACAGCTAGTTCAATTTATAAAAACCACACTACTGCCTAGAAGAAAAAAATATTTGCTGAAAGGATGGTGCAAGACTTCCATCTACTGGGAGGATGAGGGAAAATATCACTCCAAAATCATTACCATCTTTGTAAAGCATTGGTTCTTAATTTGTGGGTCCCCAGGTGTTTTGGCCTACAACTCCCAGAAGTCCCAGCCAATTTACCAACTATCACGATTTCTGGGAGTTTAAGGTCAAAATATCTTGGGAACCACAGGTTTGTTTTGTGTGTGTGTGTGTGTCAGGAGCGACTTGAGAAACTGCAAGTTGCTTCTGGTGTGAGTTAATTGGCCGTCTGCAAGGATGTTACCCAGGGGACGCCCGGATGTTTTTATGTGTTACCATCCTTGTGGGAGGTTTCTCTAATGTCCCCGCATGGGGAGCTGGAGCTGACAGAGGGGGCTCATCCACACTCTCCCCGGATTCGAATATCCAACCTGTCAGTCTTCAGTCCTGCCAGCACAAGTGTTAACCTATTGCGCCATCGGGGGCTCCTTACCCACAGGTTGAGAACCACTGTTGAAAAGGATAGATTGTCTCTTTTGAACCATAATACCTTTTTCAGCTGGTTTCAGACTCACCATTTTCTCAACTTTGTCTCAAATAAGTGTCTATGGGTTAGAACTAAAAATGAAGGAATCTGCCTTATATTGAATGGCCTGTGTTATATCCAGCTATTAGCCTAGGACTGTCAACACTTTCCAGCAACAGGAGGATTTTTTTCCCTAGTCCTACTTGGAGATCTGATATTTCCCATTTCTGTATTAACCAGATCCAACTCTGGGCTGTTGTAAGGTTTTTTGGGCTGTATGGCCATGTTCTAGAAGCATTCTCTCCTGACGTTTCGCCTGCATCTGTAGCAAGCATCCTCTGAGGTTGCAACCTCACAACTTCTGAGGATGCTTGCCATAGATGAAGTCAAAACGTCAGGAGAGAATGCTTCTAGAACATGGCCATACAGCCCAAAAAACCTACAACCGTGATGGTGAACCTATGACACACGTGTCAGCACTGACACGTATGGCTATTTTTGATGGCACACAGACACATGCGGCCACATACAGATACACCTTATAAGAGCCAATCTAATTCCATCCTCAAATTTGTAAAAGCCTCTACAAATTTAACATCTACATGTTTGAGCATTGTTCACTCCATAACTCAGCATGGATTATACATTTTTCTTATTTAAACTATAAATATTGCAAAATTATGGTTTTTTTCTCGAAGTGACACTCTACCCTAGTTATGCTCAGGTTTTTGGCAAATTTTGACACACCAAGCTCAAAAGATTGCCTATCACTGACCTACAACAACCCAGTGATTCCAGCCATGAAAGCCTTCGACAATACAGATCCAACTCTGCTTAGATTTCGAAATCAAGATGAGATTGAGTATTTTTAGGGTGGGAACTGAAAAGAAAACCTAAAGATTTTCAAAAAACACTCATGAGAAAATGCAAAGCTCTCACTTAGAGGTAGTTTTGCGCCTCTCTAAAATTACTTAACTCAAAGTACAGAGCAAGAAACTCTTTAGAGTTAAGCCATTTTCCCCTAGGAACATGAGGGTAGAAGTAAATAGGTTAAGTTTCTGGAGAAATCTGACTGATCTTGAGGTTCAAACATATCCTTTTTAAGACAAAACATGGTGGCTCTTATTCTCTGGATGGTGGGAATCTGTTTCTGGGAGAAACTGTGGATGCTTTGTGAAAAAAAAAAAAGATTTTCCCTCCAACACGAGAAGCTATTTTCAAGATCAGCCAGCAAAAGACTTAGCTGAACACCTTTGCTTCATGTGAAGTTCTGCTGCTTCTTTACCTGGCAATGTCCTCATTTGGGTCCACCAAAACACTGACAAATCTGAAGAAGAGGGATTCTTTCCATTTCACAAACTCCTCCTATAACAAAACAAATACGGTCCGGTTACGACTTAAAAATACTTAAAATAGCTGCAAGTTCCCATGAGAAAACACACAAAGCATGCATAAATCTGCCAACACCTAATGTAAATGTTCGACCTTCCCTTGTTTGCAGCTACTCAAGATGTGTGTTATGATCTGAGGACCCACAAGTTGAGAACCACTAATTTAGTGCATCAGTTTGATCTTGGTCCCTCCCTTGAGTGACTGACAGAGGAGAAACAGGAAGAGATGGAATCTTTTGTAGTGAACTATGGGTGCGACTATTATGCGAGGAATTATTAAATACCAAAGTTCTTGGCATTCATTTGGCAATATAAGTATTAAATTCAATTAGCTTCAAGGTATGGGTGGGTATGTTGTGATCTCAAGGAAAGGATGGGTAAATTGCAATTTAAGTCATACAGGTTGCAGTTCTCATCTGACCTAGACAGTGACGAGAGACGATGGGTTTCAGTCCAGTAACAACTACAGGTTACCTTCAAAATTAAGTATAAAGAAGACAAAATTAAAACTCAGTCTAGTACCCTTCTTTAACCAGAGAGTTCCTGAATAAATTAGATTCAAACTCTCACATTGGAAAAAAAAGATGTGTGTTGTGATCTCATATTACTTAATAATAATAATAATAATAATAATAATAATAATAATAATAACCTTTATTTGTACCCCGCTACCATCTCCCGAAGGACTCGGTGCAGCTTACAAGAGGCCGAGCCCAAATACATCAGTAAAACAACAACAACAACAATACAACAATAAATAAACTCATAAACAAGCAGTAAACATCAACAATAACACCACGACGCATTAAAAGAACCTATGGCAGGGCCAAGTGTAATAATTAAAATTGTTAAAAAATGCTGGGCATGACCAGGTGAAATAGGATAGGTATTTTGAAGATAGGTGGGGCGTGCAGACGATCCTAGATCTCTAATAAAGTGCATTCGGGACAAATTGCTTGGAGTTTCCTTATTCTGGGAAGGCACACTGGAACAACCACATTTTCAAGCTCCTCCTAAAGACTGCCAGAGTTGGGGCATGCCTGATGTCCTTGGGGAGTGAGTTCCAGAGTCGAGGGGCCACCACCGAGAAGGCCCTGTCCCTCGTCCCCACCAATCGCGCTTGTTCAAAATGCCAATGCTGAATCTTAGGCCAACGAAAACATGACTGTTTGTTCCCCATTTCCCAAAAGTAAAGATGTTTCCCATATTCCAGCCATATCCCAGAAGCAGAAGTGACATGTCCCAACGAGGCCCGCTCATTTTAAGGCCGCAGTGTCCACCTGCTTCGCTCACCTGCAAGAGGTTGGTAAGGAGGATGAGCGTCTGTTTCCGGATGAGAGGCTCCGGGTCCTTTAAGCAGACTGAGATGTCGGGGATGTATCTATCCACCATGGTGGTGTAGCGGATGCAGAGGTCACACATCACAATGACGACATTGTTGCGAATGGCCACGTCCTGGGACACCTCGAGTTCCCGGGCCAGCGCAGGAATGCATCTCTTTGCCAGGTCCTCATGCTGCAGACAAAGCTTACCTGTCACAGAGAAAGAGGGAGGGGAGGGTTAGAACTGACCTGTTGATGGACTCCAGACAGGAGAAAATGTATTGCTAATTATTGAAGGAATGGAGAGAAAGCGCATGGCAAGGGGAGAGTTCCTACCTAGAGTAATGAACGCATGTGCGCGGACGACGGAAGGCATCACAGAACCTCTGAACTGGGATAATGGCAGAGAGGAGGAAATATCTTCATTGTCCACAGGGCTGGACACTAGGAAATATTACGCTGGCTGTTAGGACATTAAAATTGAAGCAGGCACAGTTCCATTGTATATAATCATCATCATCATCAATTGTAGTAAACTGCTTAAAGTGCAAAAGACAAAGAGGGAATACCGTAAAAACACAATCCAGAGCAGAAGAGAAAAATGGCAAAAGAAGGCTCTCCATGGACAGTTCCTGGGAAAAATTGAGAGCCAAATTGACAAAGAAAAAACATGGCTGTGGCTCACAAATGGGACTCTGAAAAAAGAGACAAAGGAGGGCCTGATTCTGGCAGCCCAAGAACAAGCCATTAGAACAAATGCCATCAAAGCCAGAATTGAAAAGTCGACAACAGATCCCAAGTGTAGACTCTGCAAGGAAGCAGATGAAACAATAGATCACATCCTCAGCTGCTGCAAGAAGATCGCGCAGACAGACTACAAGCAGAGGCACAACACCGTTGCTCAGATGATTAATTGGAACTTGTGCCACAAATACCATCTGCCTGCGACAAAGAACTGGTGGGATCACAAGCCGGAAAAAGTTACAGAGAATGAACACCAAACTCCTCTGGGACTTCCGGATTCAGACAGACAGAGTTTTGGAGCATAATACTCCTGACCTCACAATCGTGTAAAAACAAAGTATGGATCGTCGATGTCGCAATCCCAGGTGACAGCGGGATTGCAGAGAAACAACTTGAAAAGCTAACATGATATGAGGATTTAAAAAACTGCAAAGACTCATGGTACAAGCCAGTAAAGGTGGTCCCAGTGGTGATGGCACACTGGGTGCAGTGCCTAAAGACCTTGGCCTGCACTTAAACACAATCGGCACTGACAAAATTACCATCTGCCAGCTGCAAAAGGCCACCTTACTGGGATCTGCACGCATCATTTGCCAATACATCACACAGTCCTAGACACTTGGGAAGTGTCCGATGTGTGATCCAATACAACAGCCAGCAGAGTGTCTGCTGTGGACTCATCTTGTGTTTCAAATAATAATAATAATAATAATAATAATAATAACAACAATAATAATAATAATAATTTGTACCCTGCCACCATCTCCCCAAAGTGGACTCGGGGAGGCTAACATGAGGCCAAACCCAAAATTTCAGTACAGCAAAATAAAATACAAAGAACCAAAATTAACATCAAAATAAAATACATGAAATAACAAAATAAAATAAACAGTTACAAAATAACATGATAGAGAAATAGAACACAATGGGTGGGCCAAATGCACAGGATCAAAATTGATAAAATTCTGGATAAGTAGTGGGAGAATGTGTTTCTGAAAGAGGAGCTCAAAAGGGGCAAACAGTGGGGTCAGACCTTCATTGAGGGTGGGGGGATCATGAGGATGTAACTGTAGTTGGAACAAACAAACTATGGAATATATGTTCACTCGCCAAAGGCACAAGATGATCTTACACTTGGCCATGATGTCAGGACTGGCTAGAATGGACTGTATCAGCAAGAAAATTCGTTTCTCCACTCTGGCTGGGCAGAGTTGGGCCGCTTCACCCAGCGTGAAGAGATGTCTCACCTGCCAATGAGATAAAATGCCTTCATCAAAAGGGAAATAACATGCGTTTGTTTAGGGAGGGGAGAAGATGTTCAAGGTTCCCAACTCTGATATCTCTTGTTTTGTCTGTAGGCTTTGTTGGAATTTAAGAATCCACAGGGACACACTCTGAGTGGTCTTACTTACCAAGACTTCCTCCTCCAGCTGCACTGCTCCATCTTCTTGGAGAACAATTCTCGAGATGTAGGATTCACATACGGACACCAGCTCGCCAAATATGTTGTTTAATTTCTCCTGTTCAAACAGGAAATCACAGAATAATACGAGTTGGAAAAGACCCCATGGGTCATCTCGTCCAACCCCTTCCATATTTGAAGCAAAACCTGCGAACAGACTTTCTTCCCTTCCCATGCCATGTAAAACCTATCCAACAGCAAACATCCCTCTATGGCAGCAAGGAGCCTCCTTTATTACCTGCCCAGCAAGATTGGCATTTATTTATGTATTTATTTACAATATTTATATTCTGTCCTTCTCCCCTCGCTGGGGACTCAGGGCAAACATGGCAAACATTCAATGTCATAGACCAAGGGTCCACAAACTTTTTAAAAAAGAGGGCCAGGTCACTGTCCCTCAAACTGTTGGAGGGCCGGATTATAATTTGAAACAACCATGAATGAATTCCTAGGCACACTGCACATATAAACTTATTAGCCATCCCCTGCCACGCGTTGCTGTGGCCCAGTCTGTGTATATGTGTTTTGTGTGTGAATATGTGTATGTATATATTTGTGTATATATCTGTGTTTGCGTATATATGTGGTTATGTGCAAGCGCTGTAATGTAAATTTTTTTTGCCCTTTTAAGTCCCTTCTGCTGTGTTTTTCAATGTTTTTATGAGTGATGATCACTAGTTGGCCTGATAGGTGTCGTGTCTAAATTTGGTGTCAATTCATCCAGTGGTTTTTGAGTTATGGGCGTCCCACAAATGAATATTATATTTTTATTTATATAGATTAGTGTTTCAATGGGAAATGTGAGCCTACTTTTGGCTGATAAGATAGGATTATTGTTGTTGCGTGCTTTCAAGTCGTTTCAGACTTAGGTTGACCCTGAGTGAGGGCCGGGTAAATGACCTTGGAGGGCCGTATCGGGGCCCCGGGTCATAGTTTGAGGATCCCTGCCATAGACACACAAAATATATAGACAGAGACACAGAGGCAATTTAACTTTCCAGCTTCATGAAGGTATGCTTTTTGAATTCCGGCCACTGGGGGAGCTGTCACTTCACCACCCACTTGTGACACTGATGGAGTACTTCCTCATTCCTTTGCACACTGCTGGAGTGGTTTTATATGGTGTCATAATTAGTTAAATTAGCCTCCCCGCATAAGCAGTACCTAAATTTCCTACTTGACAGATGTAACTGTCTTTCAGGCTGCAAAGGTCGACAGCAAGCTAGACAATTGCCTGGAAGCTCACTCCGACCCGAGCATTGGGTTAGTTTAAGAATCATATATTAAGAATCAGACTAACTGAAGCTGCAAAACAGCAACAGGTGCACAATAGGAGCAAGGGCTATTATTACCATCTCTGAAAGCGAAAGCACTTGTAAATAAAAATGTAAGAGAAGGGGCTTCCAAGACTGACCTGAGCTTCCTTTGGCTCATCCGTGGAAGCAAGGCAAAGTTTCTGCACAGCCTCAACTGCAGGACTGATCACCTCCAGGGGACACTGGAAATCCTGTAACCATTGCTTGATTTCACCTTTAAAAAGGAAGCGAGAGATCCAGCATGAGCTGCTGAAGACAGGCTGAAGATGGGCTTAAACCCAATCTCAAAAACTGTGGCATAGACATCGGGAACTGGGAAGCCCTGGCCCTTGAGTGCTCTAACTGGAAGTCAGCTGTAACCGGCAGTGTTGCAGAATTCAAAGAGGCACGAATGGAGGACGAAAGGGTTAAACGTGCCAAGAGAAAGGCACATCAAGCCATCCCAGGCTGGGACCACATTCTGTGTGGAAATCGATGTCCTCACTGCGGGAGAACATGTGGATCAAGAATAGGACTCCACAGCTACCTACAGACCCACCACCAAGACACTATATCTGGAAGACCATCATCCTCGATCTATGAGGGATCGCCTAAGTAAGTAAGTAGCTGAAGACAATGAAAGACAAAGCTTCTCAAGGGGCACCTACCCATCAGCCTGCTTTGGATGCTGCTGGGCAGATGCTTTGCAATGCTGCCAATTACACACAGGATGTGTACCACCAATTCCGAACTGGTTTCAAGATGTCTAGAAAACAAAAAAAAAGCAAAGTGAAGTCAGAAATCAGCTAAAGTGAGGAAACTCCACCCTGTGAGGGATGTAGAAAACCGCTGCCCTTTTGCGCAAGGCCACACTTGCCTGTCGAGACTGTCCCAGGCTTCGATTATTTTGGAGAAGTCCAGTTTGGGTGAGGAGCCGGCCACCTTGGCTAGCAGCATCCAAGCAGGCACAGCGTGATCGGTATCCGTGTGGGAAAGGACACTGTTCACAAAGGAGGAAGAGAATTTCTCCTGCTTTGACCAAATGTGGAATGCTCTGCTTAAGTAGCGGCTGAAAGAAAGGACAAAATGAGCCGTCAGACTCAATGCCAAACTTCAGATTTACCTAAAACAATGGGATATTTTATGCAGATGTGAGATTTCTTCAACTGCTGGACAGCCCAGACATACAGTAACAAACACAGACGTGTCTTTTACATACACATCTATATAAATAAAAATGTAATGTTTGTTTGTGGGATTAACAGAACTCAAAAACCACTGGACGAATTGCCACCAAATTTGCCACAAGACACCTACTAACCCAATGAATGTCCTTCACTCAAAAAACTGATTTGGTCATTTGGGAGTTGTAGTTGCTGGGATTTATAGTACACCTACAATCAAAGAACATTCAGAACTCCACCAATGATGGAATTGAACCAAACTTGGCACACAGTTCTCCCATGACCAACAGAAAACACTAGAAGGGTTTGGTGGGCATTGACCTTGAGTTTGGGAGTTGTAGTTCACCTACATCCAGAGAGCACTGTGGACTCAAACAATGATGGATCCGGACCAAACTTGGCACAAGTATTCCATATGCCCAAATATGAACACAGATGGAGTTTGGGGGAAATAGACCTTGACATTTGAGAGTTGTTACTGGGATTTATAGTTTACCTACAATCAAAGAACATTCTGAACCCCACGAACGACAGAATTGGGGCAAACTTCCCACACAGAACCCCCATACTTAAGGTCACTCAGTCCAACTCCCTTCACCAGGGCAAGAAAACATAATCAAAGCCCTCCTGACAAAGAGCCATCCAGCCATAGATATAGATAGGTATATATGATTCACACACAGAGAGATATAGTATCATACATTTGAAAGGGACCCCTAAAGGAGGACGATTATATGTTGCATGTTCCAGAGTAGGCAAACCAGGCTATCTCCACATCAACAGTGACAAAGAAACAGCTAGAAATACTGTTTACCCACAAGCATGAAGACATTACATATATTAGAAATCATCAATTTCTCATTATTTTCCAGATCACCAGACTGGGCCATAGCAATGCATTGCAGGGGACGGCTAGTACATAGATAAAAATACATAATCATAAATAAAAATACATAATCATCAATACATACACCAAACACAGGGTACAAAACAAAATGTATAGCTGTAATAGAATGTAAATTCAATCATCCGTGCTTTGGAAATACTCCCAAAAACATATACAAAAGTTGATTTTGCCATTTTATACAAAGGACACCATGTTACTGTGCCACTGCATCTAAAGAGACCTGAGTATCCAAAGAAAAACAGGGAGTGTAGGAAACCAACTCCAGTGGATACCATGGTATTAAACATATAGGTTGGATTATGGGAACTCTAAACACACTGCAGCTCCTACCTGAGCTCTTGACTCTCTTTGGTGAGCAATGTAAGGAGATCCCAAGCCAGCGCTTGGCTTTCGTTGTGTGGAGTGAATCTGTTCCGGGACTTGATGGGCTGCAGCAAGATCTGGTCAAGGCAGTCTAGGGCCCTCTCCTGCACAGAGGTCTCACAGTCCATAATGACAGGGATGACTCCCTTCAGCCAGGCCTTCTGAATCAGAATGTTCTCCGGCTGGCTCTGAAAAAGAGAGCGGCTCTTTAAAGGGCTCAGAGGAAGGCATCAAGGGCTCATGCGCCCTGATGGGACAACTACTCCTCAGGGGAAAACATGGTGGCTGTAAAACAGGAAAGAGACGTGATACTAAGAATTCTAAGCCAAAGATGCCCAACCCTCCAAAGATTTTATAGCCCCCTCCCGGTTTGGATGCAATGCTGCAGAGAACCCCAACATGACTTACAATTGGGGTGGTAGGGATGCAGATAAAAAACAAGATGGGTGGATGGTTGCAGTACAGGCGTGGACAAACTTTCTAACTTGGGGGCCATATACTAGCACTCCCTGCTAGGAGAACGCTCTGGTTACATCCCGTATAGATTACTGCAATGCGCTCTACGTGGGGTTGCCATTGAAGACGGCCCAGAAGCTTCAAATGGTCCAGCGTGTGGCAGTCAGACTACTAACAGGAGCGGGGCTCAGGGAGCATACAACTCCTCTGTTGAATCAGCTCCACTGGCTGCCAGTCTGCTACCGGGCTCAATTCAAAGTGCTGGCTTTAGCCTATAAAACCCTAAATGGTTCTGGCCCAGTCTATCTATCTGAGCGCATCTCTTCCTACGAACCCCCCAGGAACATCTGGAGAGGCCCTGCTCTCGATCCCGCCTGCTTCGCAGGCACATCTGGCGGGGACAAGAGATAGGGCCTTCTCTGTGGTGGACCCCGGCTGTGGAACTCCCTCCCTAGGGATATTAGATCAGCCCCCTCCCTCTTGACTTTCTGAAAAAGAGTAAAAACTTGGCTCTTCGAGCAAGCATTCGGAACCCCGGAGTAAACAGACAAACTAGAGTTGGAAATRGACCCAGGAACYGCCAAGACAATGCAACGGATGAAAATTTAACGAAAGGACATAGTTTCTTTTTAAATTGTTTATTATGCACTGTCGTTTATGTTTAATTTGCACTTGATGTTTTTGCTTTATTAATGTATGTATTTTGTTTCGGCATCGAATTGTGCCGACTGTGCCCTGAGTCGCCTTCAGGCTGAAATGGGCAGGATAGAAATAATGTAAATAAATAATAAATAAACAAACTGGCTTCCTGGTGATGGATGGATGGAAGAAAGGGAAGAATGGAAGGAGAGAGAGAGAGAGAAGGAGGGAGGAAAGAGGGATGGAAGGAGGGAAAATAAAAGAAAGAGAGAAGGAGGGAAAGACAAAAGGGAAGGAAGGAAAGACAAAAGGGAAGGAAGGAGAAAGAGGGAGAGAGGAAGGGAAGAGTGAATGAAGGAAGGACAAAAGAGAGGGAAGGATGCAAGGAGAAAGAGGGAGGGGCGGTAGAGAAGGAGGATCACCAGACTGCGCCAACGCATGGCAGGGGACGGCTAGTATTAATATAAGTGTCTACCCATGTTCATATTCTATGCATTCTCTTCTCTACCCTACTTTTTCTCCTTTATCATTATCATCTTAATCATACTAAAAAAAACCCTCCAATAAATATTTTACAAATTCCAGTCAGTCTTTTCTCACCAGTAAGAGATCTGTTATTGATTGCAGGGCCTGCTTCCTTACAGAAACAGCAGGATCCCGACAGCGATCCTGTAGCGTAGCCAAGTCTTCAGTGGTGCATGGAATCACCTGGTATTTCAAGATGCTCATCAGCACCTAGGGAGCAGCCAAGTCACAAGGCTCAACATGGCAAAGAACAGATTTGTTGATGTATTTTTAAAAGTCGTTTTTGGACTTATGGCGATCCTGAAGCAAAGAATTTTCTTGGCAATACTTTTTCAGAAGAGGTTTGTCATGACCTTCCTCAGAGGCTGGAAGAGTGAGATTTGCCCAAGATCACCAAGTGGTTTCATGACTGAGCTGGAGTTGAAACCTTGGCTCTCGGAATGATGCTGCATCAAAAACATAAAAGACTCCAGCCTTCTGAGACATGGAATGGTCAAGGAAGGATAGAGTGAGCTATAGTCACTGCAGAAACATCTACCATTCTTAAGAACAAGAAATATTCTGATGTGGCACATGAGAAGGATGTCCATGACAAGGGTGCTCTCAGTCACATACATTATTTCCATTGGGAAAGTTGGTGACAGATTTCCTGCCCATAGAAATTTGAATTTAATTTCAAAGACCGAAATGGTTTGTGGCATACTATTACAGAAACATGTGGGATTCAGTTTAAACAGCATATATTCAGATGGATATTGATTCATTACCTTTCTACACAAATCCATTATTTATCACTGCCAACACTGAGATTCAAAAGGAACCACAATAAGACATATTAAAAAGGCCTAAAAGCAAAACACGAAGAATCAGAATAAGGTATATGACGGTATACTAAGAACATGATACTGTGCATGAAGTCCACACTCAGTGGGCAGAAAATTGCCTTTGATATGTTGGGGGAAAAGGCCTTTTGGGAGGAAGCTCAAGATTCTCCAGCCATTCTCTGAACTGGAGGGAGAGGCAAAGATGGTGAAACAGCAGTGAAAAATCTCATCCGAGGCCGGCATTCATATTGACTTTCACCACTGAGTGAACCTGTTCTGAACACTAGCTCCAAAAGTATATACATAAATATTTATAAAGTGTTCATCTCAAGAACGTGCACAATTGATAGGAACACCAAAGCAACAAGAAACATACCTGGAGGGCAGATTTTCGAACGTTTATCTTTTCATCGCCAGCTCTTAGCCTCAGCATGCCCATGATCTCTTTTCCTGTTTGGTGAGAGAGAGAGAGGAGGAGTTGAAGGAAGCGAGGAATGCTTAGAGGAACATTACAAAAACATAATATGCTAAGTCTCCAAAGTGGGTGTCATGCATTAAGAGAATTGACAGATCAACACTTTAAACTAAGAAACACGAAAGGGCTTATAGTGTTATTTTGTTACTGTATTCATATGTTTTTTTAATGTAATTTTGATTTTGTTGCTTGTTGCTTATGTTTTGGTTTTATCTTGCTGTAATATGTTGTCTGGGCTTGGCCACATGTAAGTCGCCCCGAGTCCCCGTCAGGGAGATGGTGGTGGGGTATAAATAAAGATTATTATTATTATTATTATTATTATTATTATTATTATTATTATTATTATTATGCAGCATGTTCATTTCAGCATGTGCATTTGGATAATCAAATCTGGCATGGATAGCTCCAGGATTATGATCTCTTATCGAACCTAAAATGATTCACATCCTGTTTTTAATAAGTCTAATTTCTGTCAGAAATATTTAAAATTAACGAGGTATTTTTAATTACAAAAATGTGAGTCAAGCACTGAAAGGGTTAAATGGATGCAATGACTCAAAAAAAGCTGCAGTTCAATATAAGCAGGTGTGTCTGAAGCTTAGTAGGGCTCAGTCTGTGAGAGGTCTCTGTGGAAGAAAGGCCTCAGTGTTAGTAGGCCTCAGTATGAGAACCCCTCAGTGTGAGAGAGATCTCAGTCTTAGTTCGCCTCAGTGTATAAGAGGCATCAGTCTGAGAGAGCTCTCAGTGAGAGAAAGGCCTCAGAGTTAGTCTGCCTCAGTGTGAGAGAGCCCTCAGTGGGAGAAAGGCCTCAGTGTGAGGTGGACCTCAGTATAAGTAGGCCTGGTGTGAGAAACTTTGGTGAGAGAAGCCCCAGGCTGAAGGCCATCGTGTGTGAAGCTCCAGTGTGAAGGCTGCTGTGTGTTAAGCTACTGTGTGAAGCTCCTGGGTGAGTTCAATGTGCGAAGAAGCTCTGTAAGAGCAGAGCTGTTTATCTGCGTGAGAAAGAAGCCCAGCGGGGAAGCAAAGAAGGAAGTATAAAGAAATTATTTATATTATGGAAAACTTGTTATTGTGGATAATGCAACCATATTATTTAACTTCAAAGAAAAGCCTCCTGTGGAAGAGATAACATTGGCCTGTGTGTTTTTGTTCTTTCTATCACTTTTGGGTATTGTTGCTGGGTCACGCTGCTGCTAGTAAGTTACTCTGCTGTACAGTTATGGGGAGGGTCTTCTGTTAATAAACCCCCTCACCCAACCATTTCTCTAGAGACTAGAGGGCTTGGGAGTATTTATTTATTTATTTGCAACATTTATATGCTGCCCTTCTCACACTGAAGGGGACTCAGAGCGGCTTACAAGTAAAAAGTAAATACAATATATTATTACCATAGCACAATATTAATATTATATTTTACATTGTACTATAAAATTATACTGTAATATTATTAGTAATATTAAATTTAATATAAAATATATAATTATAATATCATATCATTATTAGGTTCCTTGGGTGACAGGTGGAAATGCCAATATATTCAGGACATTACGTAGTGCTATAAAATGGGTTAGCATTGTCATTGTTATGTTCCATGCTGCAACTAGGAAGAGCAAGAGAGATCAAGGCAGAGAATAAGCAAAAAGAAAGGAAAAACAAATCATGTCTCCAGCTACATACCATTTAACTCAGAGGAGTCGCGTTCAGTTACTTCAATGGTTTTGAATGTTGGGAAAGTCTTCATGGGATGGCTGGAGGAAACTTGAAAGATAAAAAGGGAACATTCACAGAAGGACAACAAAACTCATTCACTCCTTTTAGAAATAGGTCACCCACAAATTAACTATTCAGGGGACGATTTCAAAGCACCAAAAGGCAACAATAAGGCCCAGCTATGTTGACTGGCATCACAGACAGACCAAGGTTGCTATGATGTCCTCATGACAGAGTTTCCAAGAGAAAAGGAGAAATTAGAAGACAGTCTTCCTATCTTCTTTCCAGGACAGAGTTTTCCTAACATGTTCAAACTTTCCTGGAAAACTAAAAACAACATCTGAAAAGTGGAAGAGTCGAGCATGCTTACCTCCTGAACTGGTCAGGAACGTTCCAACATGCGTTCCACAGTCTGTATCCATGACTGTGGAAGCACGTGTACCTGAGGACAGACAGGGGAGGAAACAAACACCATTTAGAAACCTAAGGAAGCTTTACACAAACTGTACTTCTGAAGAGCCACGATGAAACTGGTGATAACAAAGCCAGGGCTATAAACATGTGAATGAAAGCATGCATGCCGCCCCTCATGACAGATGTACTAAATCATGTCCATATTGATGGGGTTTCTTTTGGGTGGGGGGGGGGGATGATGACTTGAAAGCTAGTATATGGAGAGTTATAACTTCCATCTGAGTATCCCATCTGGGCCAGAGTGAAGAGAGAGGGGGCTAGAAAACAGTTCCAGCTTGTCTCCTGTACTATACTAATAATATAATATAATATATGATATAGTAATGTAATATATTGTATACACATATAATATTTATAATATAATACTACTACTAATATATTATAATTACTATATATACTCGAGTATAAGTCTAGTTTTTCAGCCCTTTTTTTAGGCTGAAAAAGTCCCCCTCGGCTTATACTCAAGTCAAGGTTATTTATTATTTTACTCTATTATTATTATTTTAATTTCATTTATTATTTTATTGTATTTATTATTATTACATTTATCATTTTACTCTATTATTATACATTATTTTACTGTATAATTGTTGTTCTTGCTGAATTCATTATTTTACTCTTTTTATTATTATTGTTATTATTATATTTGTTATGTTGCTCTCTTTATTATTATTGGAAGGATACATAGGCACATTTACATTGAAGGTAAATAATCATTTAATCGGAGTTGGACAGTCTTATCTTAAATTACCATTTTTGTAAATATTCAAAAA